ACCTTGAAACCCTATAACTTTTCGAAATGGGGGTAAGGGCAAGAAAATCTGGGCACCACAATCAGTGTTCATAAATTTCAGATTTGCTCGTACTCGTACTTCGTACCTGCCTATTTTTGGCCTAGTACCTCGTACTTAAACGTACTTGAGAAAAAAGCAAAAAAACTTAAATTTTTATGATTTTTTGGAGTCAAGGACATAGAGTTTTAAATTTAAAGCGTCGTATGCTATAATTTTTGAATCTTGGAAGGCTTTGAAGCCATAAATCCTTCTACATATTTTATCATTTTTTGCGCCGCAGGCAAAAAATTTTTAAAATTTTGGAAGGTATTATAATAAATTCAATTTTTATTGGTCAAACAAATTTTTTTAAGAATTTTAGAGGGCCAAAAACCCATAATTCCTCCATGTAAAAATATAATAATTTTTAAAACAAAATTAAACTTATACATAAAATAAGTTATTATGAAAAGAAAAATATTAAAACTAATTGTCCACCGAAAGGGAATCGAAACCAACATTAAATCATAAAAGACTTTGGTGAAGCCAAGCACCTTAACAACTCGGCCACTCTCTTATATAACGGCGAGTGAAAGGAATTAATGATATTTCTTTCAATTTTTTTATTTTATACCAAGTACGAGTTTCACATTTATTCGATTTTATCCATTTTATTCACTGACTACTTTTTTTATTCATTGACTATTTATTCATTGTTGGGGGCCAAATAAGTATTTAAATTTCCCATATATTGGTTATGGGACTAAAAATTGTGGTCCTATAAGATACTTTGCATTTCGACCAAAACCCACGTTTGGTCTAGAGTCATATACTTATATTTTTTTAGAAAAACTGTCATTTTGTTTGGCCACTAAAATACATGGATTATATAAAGAAGAAAATAAAGTCAATAATTCAGTTGAAATTTTATATCCCCCAGAAAATATAAATAATGAGGATGATGCTATTTTAATTAAATATAAAATAAAGATTGGAAGTAAATTTTATGTATTTAAATTAAAATACCCATTAAACGGTGTTATTAAAAAAAATTCTAACGAGTTAAGCAAATGTGCCAACTTACTCAAAAATGGAGGGTATGTAATAATTTAAATAAAAAATTTTTTTTACTAATTTACAATAATTTGTGAATTTCGATAACGCTAATGTTGATTTTTTGGTAGAGTTCGAACTTTTCAATTTGTCTTTTTTTCTTTCAATCGGACCCGGGCCGGGTTTTCCGGACTAAAAGCCCCGAAAACCCGGAAACCCCGAAAAACCGGATTTTATCAAAATACCCGGTTTCCGGGCTACCGGGTCCGGAAAACCCGGTCCCGGGTTCGAACTCTAATTTTTGGTAATGGCAAAAACAAAATATTCACAATTATTTTAAAATATTTTCTTACCATAATACTGTTCAGAAAATACTGATGGAAATTAACTAGAAATTAAACAAATTTATTTGGGATAATTTTCTAGAGTTAGGCAAAATCGCAAGTCCGGGGTTCCAGTATCGTTATTTTTCAAACGGGGGGTATAAGAAAACTTTCAAGTTTCATAAAATCCAAAATCTTTTTATTATAAAAATATTCCTTCCTATTTATCTAGAGATTATAAAGACTCTTACTTGATGATTTATCCGAGACAGTTATTCTTTGATAAATTTACAGGTATTTTGAAACAATTTCTTAAATTATAAATTAGCTTTTTTCAAACCAAACAAAGATTTGTTTTTGCAGAATTTAATCTTTATGATTTAACTATTTTGGACTTTCATTGTTTTTAAAAGTCTAAAAATCCGTGCTCTAATGATTATGTTAATATTTTAATTTAAAATAATTATGTGTATTTAACTGATCCGGATTTCAAACTAGAGATTAGAATTTTGAAAAAACCGGGAGTGGAAAACGGGAATTGTAGCAGAAGGAACCCGGTCGGGACACGGAACCGGGAAAAGCGGGAATTTCCTATCCCTGTTTCATCTCGGCATCTTCAAAAAAGACGAGAAATAGGATCGGGAAGCGGAACAAGAGTCCCGTTCCGATCTCTATTTCAAACTACTGATGGAAATTTCTTTTTTCTTTTATCTTAAAATTATTTTTGTGTTTAGCTTCGACTGTTACGGATATTAAAATTAATGAAGAATTTAAAAGCGAGAATGAAGTTAAAGAATGTAGTATTTGTTTTGATGATTTGAGTGAACCCGAAAATAAAGATTATAAGGAAATTCAACAAATAACAAATTGCAAAGTTTGTATATAAAAATTATTTAGAATTTTAAATATATTTTTAGCATACTTTTCATAAAAAATGTCTTCAAAAATGGTAATTATTTAATTATTTTGGTAAAATTCAAGTCCGCCCCCCTTTCCTTCTAAAAGTATTAAATAATGGTCAGTCAGTCTTAGGTCTATGGGTGAGACCGGGTCCTTATTTTGGTGTCGTTTGACACAGCTCGGCGAGCTCTTCCGAATGAGCTATCATTTGCACAAAAATTTTTTATTCCAAAAAATCGCCCCTATGGTTGTTCAATTTTCAGGGGTCTGTATATTTCGGTCAAATTAAATCGGATTTTATTTAAAATTATTTGTATATTTTCAATTAATTTAATTTTGAAATTATGCTTTGAGCGACCCAAGTATTAACCAAAAATATCTTTTAATAACTTGTTGTATATAACTTCTAATTTTTACATTTAAAACAAATTACAGGTTGAAAACAAAGTTGGAGCTAACCCAGCAAACACTATATGTTGAGGGGACACATTTGGTGCGAAATTTAATTAAAATTAATTAAACAAAAAAACTGAAAAATATTTATTAAAAATGCTTAAATTATATACATATTTTTGTAGATAGAAGGAGGGTGCCCAATTTGTCGAGTAGCGGTTTTATACAAGTACAATCCATGAGACGGAAAAATAATTCCGATCATCTGTAATTCTTTCAAATTTTTTAAAAATAATTTATTTAATTTTAGAGACGAGAGAAGCTGATTTTGATGTAAAATTAAGATTGTTCATAATCGATTTTATATCAGAAAATTTTGTCATTTTAGGCAAAAATTAACAATTTTATGAAAATTTAAAAACTGTAACCGAGTCATTTTTTTAAATATTCTTTTTGCATTTATGTTTATTTTTATCAATATACCGTATTTTTTCGATTAATTCCCCTGGGGAATTATTTTTTCATCTCTTCCTTGGCGTGGGGAATTAATTGAGGGAGGGGAATTATTTGAGTTTTGGCATTTGAACGTGCAGTAGGGTATTTGGGGGTGGGGAATTATTGTTTCAACCAAACTTTTGCATGGAGAATTAATTGAGAGGGGGAATTATTCGAGGGAGGGGAATTAATCGAGAAAATACGGTATATATTTTGACCACCTCCTATGTAAAAAGAATCCCGACCGTTCACATATTTTAACACCATACCCTTATCCATTGTTTTCTATTCACATTTTACATTTACCTGTTAATGTCCCTGTAAATACTCGTTTCAAATGGCCATTTGTATTAGAGTTGGACAAGTCGAGATCGATATCGATATATCGGTCTCGAATATCGGTCTTTTTCCAATATCGATATCGGTTTTATAGATATCGATCTCGAAATCGATACCGATATATCGCCCCAAATATCGACCGATATCGATATTAACTTTACACCCCTAAAGATTGCTTTTTTTCTAAAAAATGGAAGAAATCTGGCCACTTGCCCTTTCAAAATTATAAAAATTTTTGCCTGCGGCGCTGTAAAAGAAAGAAAAAACCATAAATTTCGGAATTGCCTTAACTTTTCCTAACCCCTAGATCTGGAAATATGGCGGATATTTTAAATGGGGGATATCAAGCTTCTTGGCCTTACGAAATTATCAAAAATTCGCTTGCACCGCTGTAAGTAGGATCGTCACTGAAAGTATGATCGCTGTAAGTAGGATCGTCGCTGTAAGTAGGATTTTTTTTTTTTCGTCGCTGTAAGTAGGATTTTTGACTGCGGCGCTGAAATTGGAAGATTTTTGGCTTAAGGATCTTTCAAAATTCTCAAAATTTTTGACTGCGGCGCTGAAATTGGAAGATTTTTGGCTTAAGGATCTTCCAAAAATTTCAAAATTTTCGCCTGCGGCGCTAAAAAATTAGATTTTTGGAGTGTTGCGCCGTTAGTTCCGGTTCCGGTAGACCAGAAGTTCCGGGATTTTTTGTTAAACATTTTTCTCTGTTCTTTTTAGGTTAGTATTAAGGTTAGTATTATTATTTCAACGAATTTTCTGGATTTAGGGGTAATAAAAATTTTTTAAAAAAATATTGGTTAATATCGAATATCGATCTCGATATCGACTCAAAACTTGCATATCGATATCGATCTCGACCATGTCAATATCGACCAATATCGATATCGGTTTTCTCCTAAAATATCGATATCGTCCAACTCTAATTTGTATATCAAATCTGGTCAGACATTTTTATTTGTCCCTTTATTTACATATTTTCCCTTCCATTTAAATGCTTTAATTTGTAAATTTTTAAGTGTAAATTAACTTATTTTTAAATATAATTTGTTTAGGTAATTCTTTAAAGGCGTTGAATTGATCCAAGAACAGAATGAAAAAAGCCTCGATTCTTTGTTTAGGGCTCAAGCGAAATACTTTTTACCTTTTTATTCAAAATTAAAAAAAAACAACAATGGGTGAACACTTATATGTTGTCACAAATAAAGAGTCAAAATGAATGTCAATACAGTGTTCCTTTCCTGCCGCTGCAGGCATGAATTTTAAGAATATTGGAAGCCAACTGGTGAACCTTCGGTTACCCGAAAATCCTCAGTTTTTCGGTTGGGTTTGAAACCGATAACCCCATTTCTGACCCAAAATAAAATTGAAAATATTTAAAAATTGTTTTAAATAATAATTTATCTGTAAGGATTATGAAAAATTCCAAAATGAAAGACATGTATTCAATTTATCTTGAAAGTTTAATATATTTTTGTTGGCCATAAAGTATCTTCATTTATTTATGAGATTATTTCTTTTTTCGTCTTGTGGCGGAAGAAAAGCACAAACAGCGTGGTCAGGTTGTGAAAATGTTCCGGGGGGACAGCCACAACGATTTAATAAACATAAGGATGGAGGTTCACATTCAAAATGTGCTTGGCATTGCTCTCCAACTAATTCTAAAAAATTGAATCTCAGATTTTTTAGTCAAACCCTTTGGAGCTCAAAAAATTGTATTCTATTTGGGAGTATCTTAGAAATTATCGCCGGAGCCCGCCTAGATGGTGATCGATCAAATTTTAAAAAAATCAGTCTAAAATTGAGGATATATAATTTGGGGGTGTTTAATAGTTCGAAAGTCTCGGTCTCAGTTCCCGAGTCGAGAAATTACTTGAGGTTTTGAGCGTCTCGGTTTTGGTGTTTTAGTATCGGAAAACAAGAAAAATTTACACCCCTAACAACGGAAATTTTCGACTCGATTCTCGAGTATTCTTCTCTATTTGAGCCGCCCACAGGGTAATAACTAGAAATCGAGCCTGGGCCTGTTCATGGGTTCCGGGTTTGATCTATTGACCTGGGCCGGATCCTGGGCCTGTAGTCCAGGAAAAACTCAGGAAGGTCAAAAAATGCCTGGGCCTGGACTCTGGGTACAGGAAAAACCCAGGCCTTGGTCAAGGCCCAGCTCGATCTTTAGTAATAACCCCAAATATCTATTTTAATTTTTGATTTCTAAAGCTTAGGATGTATAAGTATGTACTTTAAAAAATGTATACTTTTAAAATTATTAGCTCGTCCACTTGCAAAGAATTTAGTTTCCCTCGATACATTATTTTCAGAATTTTTCTTTTTCCTTTCAGAATCATCTCCAAGTTCGTTATGAGAAAGTAAAGTCATTCCTCTTTTATTATTAGAATATCCATTTTGTATTTTTAAACAAAATCCAGAACGGCATAAGCCTTCAATGCATGGTCTGTCTATTGGATGACAAGGAGAACCAAAAGAACCTTTTTTTAATATTTTATTTATTTTAAAGATTTAAATAATTTTTGGAAAATTGTGTTTGATAGTAAGCTATCGTATTTACTCGAATTAATTTTTACCCTATCCCTAGCATGGGGAATTAATTAATCGAGGGTATGGAATTAATCGAGTAAATACGGTAGTCTACTGAGGGGTCAATCTATCAGAACTTGAAGTTAACGATTTTGATTCCATCTTACACAGTTCAACGATATAATTAATCGAAAAACTATTTATGTAGATCCAATTTTATTAGACCTAGTTATGATTCATGGAATACTGTGATGTGACAGGTTTGATCCGGCAATGTTTCGGTTCAAGTAATGTGTTTGTTAAGACAATACCAAACTAGTAGGATTTGGCAATAAAACTGTATGCCCTTATGCCCTCTCAATTGGAGATTGGACAGATACTATATCTCCTTCAAACTCTCATTTATCAATATCAAGATTTTTCGAGCTATCAATCCCGAATCGTTCCTAAAGTCCGGTCTCCAATTAAAATCCATTACTATTTAAAACATATAGAAAATAATTTTTACGTTTATCAACAGCGTCCGATAAAAGTCTGGGAGTACAAAACCCATTCGAATTAGTTACCATCTCTCCACCGGTAGAATCGACACAAACACAAAAAGCACTTGCTTCTTCCATTAACAAAATACATTGGGCACCAAATTGGCATTTTTGTAAAGGATTGTTATTATTACATTGAGTGCCTATAGGGACTATTAAGCCTTTATTTTCTTCTATTTTGGATTGAATTGGGGCAGAGGGAAAGGCTCTATATTTAGATGAGGGAGACAACTGTTGAACTGAAATAAATGTTGATATATTACTATATAGAGACCTTACTATAAGATACCTATGTATATCAGGTGTAATCAGGTATATCCTAAATAAGGGGGTATAATTTACACAAACTAAAAGAAACTTAGGTGTATCTAGTATTGGATGTGTCCTCTAATGAGGTCATATTTTCAATAGAAGAATATTTCTTAAAACTAAGCGATATCCGCTATTTAAGACCACACCTCATTATGAGATAATTTTCAGCCTTAAAGGTATCTCATAGTTAGTCCGGTATTTATTTCTATTAAGGCAATTTAATCACCATTATTATTTTGGGGTTGTTGTTGCTGTTGTTGTTGTGTTTGTTGAGTATTTGTTTGGATACTAATATTTTCGGACACACAATGCCCCAAGGCATTAGCCACCGTTCTAGGGGGACAAGCACAAACTTCAAATAAGCAGTCAGCACCGGGTACACATTCAGAAGACTGTTTACATCTCTGGCCTAATTTTAACCTTTGAGGCTCTTCTTTTTTGCCTCTAAGGGTGTTTGGAGTTTGTTGGGGTTGTTTTTGTTGTTCTGCTGATGATGCACGAGGCTTAATTAAACCTGGATCCATAAGAAGCCCGTTAACACAAGATTCCTTATCCAAACTAGGTGAGTAGCCTGGAGGGCACTAAAAGGAGGAAAAATATTTTTGAGAGATTAAAGAAAATCTTATTGACTTGGCAAACGCCCAAAATGCAGGAAGAGCCGCCCGTACAAACTGTGGAAGAAAAATCACAACTTTCAGAGGGTCGTCTGCGTTGTTTAACTGATGGAATAATTATAGATGAAGGTTGTTGGAGTTGTGGGGTTGGTTGTAATGGTTGGATCTTTGGAATATTTAATAAAAAAATATTTTTAATTTCTTGGCACATTTAAAGAGAGGAGTGTTGATTCTACGTAATTTAAGGGACATTTTTTGGAGTTTATACTTAAACTTATAACTTTTATAAGAATTTCAACAATAAAATTAATCTCTATTGGCTGATTGAATGAAAATAATGAAAACTCTAGAAAAACACTCCACTCTTCAAAAGTGCCACTTTCCTTACTTGTGGTTGAGGTGGAGGAATAGTTACTATATATGGAACACATTGTCCTCCAACATTATGCTGTCCTTGGGGACATGAACATACGCCATCTGCACAGATAGACCCGCCAGAACAGACTTTGTCACAAGTACCTGTATATTCACAACGAGGGTCACAATTCTCTCCAGGAAGTACTTAAAAATAAAATATTTTGTGTCAATATTACTCCAGTTATAACATTAACACAGTTGAATAGCTAATAGGGAGGGGAGTGAAGGAACATGTAGGGCATGTAAGAGGGTATAACCAGAGTTAATTTATCCCTTTTCTACTCACATTGCACAACACCCGATGGAAAAGGAGGATATGTTGCTGTAGCAGGAACATAAGGTTGTGGAGGTTGTGCTAAAGGTGTGTAGGGAACACAAACAGATTGTTGAGGATAATAGCCATAATCTAAATAAATTTTCAATCATTTTGGAATTAAAATAATGCTTAATAATCTTAACTAACAATAAGACCCACCGCACGCACAAATTCCTTGAATACAAGTAGCTCCTCCACTACAAGGTTGTTGTGCATTTGTCCCAACTGCGCAGGGATAACCGGGGATTCCAGTATTGCTAGTTATTGTTGGAGAACTTAGAGCTTAAAGATATAATTATTGAAATGTGTAGAGTGACGGGAACATAGGTATGTGGGGTGAAAGGAGCATGACATGTAAGTTGAAGGCGAGGTCGATCGGAATTCCGAGTTCCGACATTTTTTTCCTTCCGATTTCCGAAAATTTAGGCTGATTTCCAACTTTTGAGCCATTTCCGATTTCCGACAGTTCCGATTTCCTACACCTTCGTCAGTTCCGATCGACCTCTGGGTGAAGGAACATACAACGAGGGGAACATTATGAGGTAGAGGAATATAAGTTCCTAGTATATTGAGAGAAATATTTACGTTGTACAATAATTGCTGAGACTGGTTGACAATAAGTTCCAGACTGGGCCAAAATTGTGTTTGGAAGGCATTGACAACGGCCAGCTTAAAATTATTTTTATTGAAAAATACTTTTTCCTCTACCTTGGCAAACAGAATTCCCTAAACAAATAGTTGTTGGTGTACATGTTTGCATTGGAAGTTGGGTGGCAAGTGAAACAGAGGCACATTGACCGTTTAAAGGAACCTCAAAATTCTTATTTTTTGGTCTTTAATCAAAAATTACTTGTTGCTGTGGACAAGTACAAAACCCTGCCGTACAAACAGAATTTCCAGTACATTTTGTTAAACTGGCAATACAAGGCTCCCCTGGGCCAGCTAGAAAGATTAGTAATTTTTTAAAGAAATTAAAAGAAAAAATAAAAAAAATAGGGGGAGGGAACAATGGATGGTGGGTGAAAGATGTCCCTTTCAGGATGTTCCTTACGACCTATAATTCAAATTTTAAACACATTACCAATAGAATTAACAGTAACACACATCTTATTTTGAATCGGTTCCCCATTTGGACAAACACAAAAACCGTTAGCACAAACAGAATTACCTAGGCATTCAACCTTTAATTTATAACAAAAAATAAAAATTTTTTGAATTTTAAAAACTTGTGCTATAATTCCAGGAGGGCGTTCACAGCTAGCTCCGGGTTCGACTTGATAGTTTTAATTAAAATTATTTTTAAAATCCTTTTTTAGAGATTTACCATATATTTTAGGAACAATACATTCACCGTCACGCTCTTCATACCCTTCTGGACAAACACAATAGCCATTAAAACAAAAAGAACCGCCTGTACAAACTTGGGGGTTATGGCGACAATTAAGGCCTGGGGACTCTTAAATTAAATTTTCTTTGAATAATTTTAACCCTTTATCTAAACAAACTTTTAACTAAACGCTTCCCGTCATTTCCAATTATTAAAATTGTGCTATTATAATAATTCTTTCCTTCCAGAATAACACTAAAAATAAGGGAATATTAAGTTATCTCGTATATTTTTATGACTACCAGCTTCTTTGTTGGGGTAAATAACCTTTTGGGCATTGACAAACGTTTTGTACACAAGTAGCCCCTCCATCACAAAAATCACCTGCTGCACAATTATAGCCAGGATTGATTATTGGATTTGCTACTAAAATATTTTAAATAACGTCTAAGGGGTTGTTAGTATTTCCTAAACATAATCCAGGTAAATTGAGAGAAGGGTCTATAGGAAATATTCAAGACTAGAGTTGAGGGCCCGATCCGAAAGATCGAGTCGGGCATTGAATTTTGTCCCAAAAAAACTAGGTCGGGCCGGCCCGATAAAATGAACGAACGTCGGCCCGACTCGAAAACCCCAACCCTATTCAAGACCTCTTTTAAATGGTGGAGCCGAAAAACAGAAGACGAAATGGAAAGTCAAAAAATTCGGAATCTGCAGGGAGCGAAAAGCAAAAGAGGTCGGATGGAAATGCCAAAAGTGTCTACTCACTTTTAGATCTAGGAAGGCACAAAGAAGTCCCTGCCTGAACAAATTCCTCAACACAACGACAAAATCCATGTAAACAGTTTGCATTTCCAGAAGGACCACAAATTTGCCCCTCATTTTGACATTCATGCCCTAATTGTATAGAAGAAGTTTGACCATTTTGTTCTTCATTTTTTAAATTTTCTTCTTTTGGTAAAATTGTTAATCCTTCAGAGAATTGCCCAGTTTGAGGGTTTGGTATTTCTGGTTGGGTTTGTTGTTGAATTGAATTTTGGGTTATTGGACTAGAATTAAAGTTAGAAAATTTTTATTGGGGTGATTGAACCTTCCCTAGTGTGGATAAGTAACAGTAATTAGGGTTGCTGTTTTCGAGTCGGACCGACCGTCGAGCCATTTTTTTCGTGCCTCATTTTTATCGAGTTGGGCCGGTACGAGTCTTTTTCGGGCCAAATATCTTAGGCCCTTTCGGTCCGAGTCGGGCCATTATGGCAACCCTAATAGTAATGTTATTTCAAAAAATCATAAATACTGTGGACCTCGGAGGGCCACGCTAATAGAGATTATCGTTAACTAGAAGAACCACTCAATTAAGATTTATGGTAACCTAAATGTTCACTACTCTCTACAAGTAGTGTGTAGGGGACATATAATGCTTATCAGTTGTTTTTAACATTTTTTCAATATCACAAAATATATTTACCTGTTTTTCAAGTCTACAGGCATCAATTTATCCTTATTCCCTTCATCCCCCAAATTATTTTGATTTTCAATATTATTATTAAATTCTGACGGCAGAGGACGTTCTTCTCTTTTTCTTTTAGACGAATTTAAAGGCAATGATCTAGTGTAATTATTATAAAAATTTCTCTAAGATCCAAAAATCTGTCACACCTTTTTCTACGATATTGCAATCTTCTCTTTTTATTTTTCAACGAATATTGCTTCTTTAAATCTACACAAACACCCCCAATTGCCATTTTCCCCTCTAAATTTAAAATTTAAATTTTTGTAAAATAAAATAGTCGAACGTGGACAAACACAAAGTTGACGTTTCAAATCACAATAAGCCCCACCAACACATTGATTGTTATTTTCAGAACAAGGGCCGAGGGTGTTGGAAGGAATGAGGACACATTGGTCTGCTTGGATAGTCATTCCTAATTAATTTTGTTGAGAATTTGAAAAAAGCAAGAAAATTCGGGAAATTTACCAGCAGAGCATTGACACGTTCCTTCCACACAATTAGAACCCCCAGAACATATTTCACCGTTTAAACAAGATTCTCCAGGCTTGGCTAAATTTAATCGTGTTCTAATAATTTTTTGTTTAAATTAAAACCCACCAGTTTGGGCACTTCGACAAACACCGTTAATATTAGTTGTGGGTGCTATACAAGTGCAAACCTTTATTTAAAAATTTTTTTTTGTTTATTCGAATCTCAATATAAGATGATCCAATATTAAATATTCTCTACAATTTAAATAACTTTTTAAGGGTGCACCTCGATGTACCGCGAGGCCAATGCACAGCTGAGAAATAACTTAATTAAAAATTACCGAATCCTGGACGCCTTGGCATGGTTCAATGACTTCAACAATCTGAACCGAACATACCAAAGCGTCCCGAATTCGACAATTTTGAACGAAATTATAGCTCGGCGGTACATTGGCATGCTCGTCTTTTTCAATAAAACTGGGTGTGGAGGCTATCCAAGCTCTTATTAAAGATCGAACTGGGAGTTGTTCGAGAGCTCGTCCCAGTTTGAACTCTACGTCTTATAAGATACAATTTATTTCAGACCCAGAAAGTAATCTAAGAACGAGTTTCGAATTTATTAAAAACACTATATTTTATTTTTGAAAATTCTCTCCACCTTATCAGTTTGATCGCAATATGAATTTGGAGGGCAAGCCTCGCCTAAAGCACAAGAATCTCCGGCTAAAACTGTCTCCGGACGCTTAAAAATTAATTTTAAAAATATTTCTTAAATTCTTTCCATTCTCACCACGCACTGCCCACTCTGTGCCACAAAAGGAGAGGGGCATGTACAAATTCCTTGTACACAAACAGCAAAGTTTGTACAAACTCTAGTAGGAGAACAACTCTTTAAAAAAAGATTTTTTAATCTTAGAAAATTCCAAAAGAGCCACCTGACCAGCGCCAACTTGTGTAACTATTGAACATTCACTCTTAGAAGGGAAAATAAATATTTTTTTAGTTCAAGAAAAGAATAATTGTAGATTTTTACCCCGTCTGCTACAGTTCCAAGAGGACATTTACATCTGACAAAAAATTGTTTAATAAATTTTAAATATTTCCTAAATTCTTAAAATATTCCCAAAATAGTTTTAGAACAGTCAGAAGTTACTACACTATATTATACACCCCTCCCCTTCCCAATTTAAAGTAATTTTTAAAAATTTATTTGACCATTTGGAGGAGCTCTAATAAAGTTATTAGGTCGTAATTTTTTTCAATCCCGAAAGGAATCCAATAATGAGATTCAATTTTTGAAAATTTAAATTATAATTTAACAATTAATAATTATTAACTATTACCTTCCTTGACGGCAATTAGAACCGCCCAAACATCTTTCCCGTCCCGTAGGACATGCTCCATCGGGAAGTACTAAAAAATTGTTATATTTATTTTTTTATTTTAAAATTAATTTTAATTATTTATTTACCCGTAGGGGGGTATTGGCATGTTCCGTTAATTGCTAAAAGTGGGGGCGTGCTAAATAATAAAATTTATTCTTTTATTTTCTTAGAAAATAATTTTCCAAAATTACCATATACATATTCCCTGTTCACATTTTGACCCCCCACCACACTCCACCGCTGGTGAACAAGCAGAATTTGGGGGAACTGGAAATAAAATTATTTTTTTTAGAATTTTCAAAATTCTCTTGCCAGTCATTCTAGTCACACAAACACCATTTAAAGGGCTCGTCCCTGTCGGACATAAACATATTCCATCCATACAGCTGGATCCTCCAACACAGCGTTGTCCTCGAGTACACGATTCGTGCGGGGCTGCACGGACTTTAAGAAAAGGAATTTTTCTTTGAAATTTAACTAAATATCCTTGCCAGGCACACAAACTCCATTATTGTTAACCATACTAATTGGACATTGACATTGGGCATCTACACATTGAGAGCCGCCTGCACATTGTCTATTAACTAAACAAGCTTGTCCAGGGCCAACAATGTCAATACAATGACCTTGATGTTCTATTTGGTTTGTTCGGCAGCCTTAAATGTTTGTGAGGGTAATAAAGGGAAAGGGAGATAAAATATTGTCTTAATATTTAGAAACATGTTTGTTTAAAATTCTGATATTTAGAAAATTATTAAAATTTTGAAATAAAACAGGGTATAATATATCTCTCTCACCAGGTTGGCACACTCCAAATTGATTACGAATATATGATTGCGGACAAGCTAATAAAATAAACAAAAATTGAAATTAATTGAGAATTTTTAATTAAAAATTAATTTAAAAATATTTTTAGGAGTATTTTAAAAATTAAGTCTTTTGATTTAAATTCTTTCAATTGTTTCTTCTTCATTATCCCGATGCTTAAAAATTTTTATAAAAATCATTTAAAATTTCTAGAATAATTTTTAATTTTTTTGTTACTTTGAATAAAATTAAAGGGGAATTTTAATAAAAACAAACAAGGCATGCAACGATTCCCAGAAAATACTTGATCGTTTGGACATCGACAACGACTCAAGCTACAAAGCATTCCAGGATAAACAGCATGACATTGGCTAGAGTAATAACATTCACTGCCGGGTTGGACAGCTAAAATAATTTTTGTTTTAAACTTTTTCCGGAAAATGTTTGTGAAACAATTTTATTAAAGAGAAAAAAATGTTCGTTTTAAATTCTGATAATCCAGAAAATGTTTAATTAAAACATAGAAACATGTTTATTTAAAGTTCTGATTTCAAACTTTTTCCGGAACTTGTTTGTGTCATTCAGAACAAGTTTATTAAAAACATCGCATATTAAGAAAATGTTAAAAATGTTAAAATTAAACATTTAAAGAAAATGTTCGTTTTAAATTCTGATACCCCAGAAAATGTTTTAATTGAAATTTCGAAACATGTTTATTTGAAATTCTGATTTCTAGAACATGCTTAATTAAAATTCTGATATTTTCTCCTTTAATTTAAAAAGGGAACAAACTTGGCAAGCAGCTGCCTGTTACACTTGAAAAAGCCTGGCCTTGTGGGCATTGTTCTCCACTAAAGGAATATTTTAATGATAATTAAGGGAAATCTTTATTATTAATTAAAAAATAACCAAGTCCCGTCAATAGCAATAGGCAATTCTGGAGGGCATACACATTTTCCCAAAACGCATTGAGCCCCCTAAAGATTATTAAATATTTAATAATTATTTAAAATACTTGATAAATTATACATATTAATATAAGAATTATTTCAAATATAATTTATACCTGCACAACAGCCGAACATTGCATAGAGTGTGTGCAAAGGCCAGAACCAGGTAATACAGCTAGAAACTCGGTATTATTAATTTTTATTTTAGATTTTAGTTTCCAGAACATGTTTATAGTCAGAGCATGTTTATTAAAAATGATTTAATAAAATTCTGACATCAAGAAATGTTTAATTAGGAATAAATGTAATATTCCGGAAATGTTTGTTTAAAATTCAGATAGGTATTAAGGAAAATGTTTCCCAAAAGTTTAAATTTAAGAAATAATAACAATTTAATTTAAAATATTAATATTCAAGAATCATCAAAATTATTCTGGAAATTAGAGATTTTCCGTGAAAAGGATCAAAAAAATTTTATTTAATTACTCACTAAGTTTGCATTGACCAATTTCAGATATCCAAATTTCTCCTCGTCTAGTACAATTTCTATCGGTAAAGACACAATTCCTGCCGTCAGCGCTTACTTGCATTCCATATGGACATTGACAGATAAGACGACGGCAAAATGAGCCTGGCTCTTGGAGGGCACATTGTTGTGAATATTGGCATGGTGAACCCGGGCTTGACTCTAAATTTTTGATTTTTGAAAAAAAGTAGATAAATAACATTTAACCAGATAAGCAAGCTCCAATTTCAGAAACATACGCCTAAAAGTAGAAAAATAGTTTTACAAATTTAATTAAGTTTTTTATCACTTTGTTTGCAATGTTTGGAATTGCTTTAAATTTTTATCGAAAATTATTTATCGCAAAACTAATTAATTATCGCAAAACTATTGTTTAAGCTTTATAAACATCTCGAGAAGAATAGTTTAATATTCTAGATGCCTTTATTTATTTCCGAGGTTTTCCCAAAGTGTCCAATCCGAACACAACAATGTTTCAAGTTTATGTAAATGTCCAGTCCTAACAAAACATGTTTTAGATTTTTTGAACAAAACATTGTTTTAATTTTTCCTGAAATGTTTAGAAAAAAGACAATGTTTCGAGTTTATGGAAATATTCAATCCGAACACAACAATGTTTCAAGTTTATAGAAATATTTATTACGAACACAACAATGTTTCAAGTTTATGGAAATATTTAATTCGAACAAACCATGTTTTGGGTTTTTCGAACAAAACATTGTTTTAAGTTTTCCGGAAATGTTTAGAAAAAAACAATGTTTCACGCTTATGGATTTTTAATCCGAACACAACAATGTTTCAAGTTTATGGAAATGTTCAATTCGAACAAAACAATGTTTTAAGTTTAGCCTGAACAAAACAATGTTTCAAGTTTAAGGAAATTTTTAATCCGAACACAACAATGTTTCAAGTTTTCTTAATTTAAACAACATAATTTCAAGCTTTGCAAACATTGTTTTAAATTATTTTATTAAAAATACTAGTCCTAACAAACATTGTTTTAAGTTTTTCGGTATATCTTTTCTAAAAATTTAGTTGTTTTTACCTGCCCGTTAGAACAAGTTCCTCCCATTATTGCCCCATTTTCTAGCGCGGCAATACATGCAGACCCTGCATTTAATGCACCTTCTCTACATTTGCATACACCATCACAAAATGCTAAGGGATAACCAGCACAAGAACTATCAGTACTGCAAACACTTCCTTTAAAAGGAAGTGTTATTTTTAATCTCCAAAAAATAATTATTTTTGCCTGGTGAAATTCCAGAAATCATCGGAAGTTCTTCAATTCCATTAGAAGGAACTGGTATAATACTAGGCAGTCCATTTGAGGAGGGTTGAGGGGGTGGTTGATAAGGCGGTGGATATACTGAAGGTATAATAATGTGGTCGCCACTTTGTTTTGTTCTAATATTGGATCCTGAAATGTTTTTATTAAATATTTTTTTAACTTTAATTAAAACATATTTTAAGAAAAACATTTTTTTAAGAGAAACGAACATGTTGTTTTTGATTTTAAAAATGTTTGGATGTTTAATGTTTTCTACTTTGTTTTCCAAAATGTTCGGTCTAAACAAAACATTGTTTTAATGTTCAAACATTGTTTTAACAAAACATTGTTTTAATGTTTTGATTTTAAAAATGTTTAATGTTTTCTACTTTGTTTTCCAAAATGTTCGGTCTAAACAAAACATTGTTTTAATGTTTTGATTTTAAAAAAGTTTAATGTTTTCTACTTTGTTTTCCAAAATGTTCGGTCTAAACAAAACATTGTTTTAATGTTTTGATTTTAAAAAAGTTTAATGTTTTCTACTTTGTTTTCCAAAATGTTCGGTCTAAACAAAACATTGTTTTAATGTTTTGATTTTAAAAAAGTTTAATGTTTTCTACTTTGTTTTCCAAAATGTTCGGTCTAAACAAAACATTGTTTTAATGTTTTGATTTTAAAAATGTTTAATGTTTTCTACTTTGTTTTCCAAAATGTTCGGTCTAAACAAAACATTGTTTTAATGTTTTGATTTTAAAAAAGTTTAATGTTTTCTACTTTGTTTTCCAAAATGTTCGGTCTAAACAAAACATTGTTTTAATGTTTTGATTTTAAAAAAGTTTAATGTTTTCTACTTTGTTTTCCAAAATGTTCGGTCTAAACAAAACATTGTTTTAATGTTTTGATTTTAAAAATGTTTAATGTTTTCTACTTTGTTTTCCAAAATGTTCGGTCTAAACAAAACATTGTTTTAATGTTTTGATTTTAAAAAAGTTTAATGTTTTCTACTTTGTTTTCCAAAATGTTCGGTCTAAACAAAACATTGTTTTAATGTTTTGATTTTAAAAAAGTTTAATGTTTTCTACTTTGTTTTCCAAAATGTTCGGTCTAAACAAAACATTGTTTTAATGTTTTGATTTTAAAAATTTTTAATGTTTTCTACTTTGTTTTCCAAAATGTTCGGTCTAAACAAAACATTGTTTTAATGTTTTGATTTTAAAAAAGTTTAATGTTTTCTACTTTGTTTTCCAAAATGTTCGGTCTAAACAAAACATTGTTTTAATGTTTTGATTTTAAAAAAGTTTAATGTTTTCTACTTTGTTTTCCAAAATGTTCGGTCTAAACAAAACATTGTTTTAATGTTTTGATTTTAAAAATTTTTAATGTTTTCTACTTTGTTTTCCAAAATGTTCGGTCTAAACAAAACATTGTTTTAACGTCCGGAATGTTTTTCCGGAATTTATTTGTTCCATTACCGCTAATTTCTTGAAGACAAGTTCCCCGTTTAGGTACCATCCCTTCCGGACAATGACATTTTCCTTCTCCGGAACAAGTTGCTGTTGAAAAGAAAATTGAACATTGACGAGAATCTATACAACCAACTAAAAGAATTATTTTTATTTTTAAATCAAAATAATTTATCAAACAATCTCCTGGAGGAATTCCGGGAAGACACCGCCAATCAACTTCCACAAAACGATCAACACATTCACATTTTCCAGTTACTCTGTTACAAAATTCTCCATTACCAGGACAATCCATTGGGCGAATACAATCTCGAGTGAGAGAACTTGCTAGAAAATTTTAGTTTTTTATTTTTAATAATTTAAAAATTAAATTTCTTTTCTTTAACAATCCACCCATTGAACAGGCACTTAATTTTGCTGTTTTAAATTACCTAGTAGTCTTTTCTTAGAGAGGAGGGGCATTCTTGACTCTATTAGTTTCTGTAAAATATTTTTTTGGTCAGTGAATGGTAGTGATGCTCGGGTATCCCGATCCCGACTCCCGACTCGGGAAAATTTCCCGAGTTTTTGGCCTCCCGATCCCGATCCCGACTCCCGGTGTCAATTCCCGACTAAGTCGGGAAATTTTTACACCCCTAAGAATGACTTTTTCTGGCAAAATTATATTTTTCTTTATAAAAAATGAAGAAATCTGGCCTCTTGATCTTCCAAAATTCCCAAAATTTTCGCCTGCGGCGCTGTTAATGGAAGAAGCTGTGGAGTTGTAGTATAGAAGATTTACGTGATTTACTAGGATTATGGTGAATCTGAAGAGATGAGGGATTTGCAGTAATAAAGAGAGATAGACCCTATCCTAAAAAGAAGGCGCCTTGAATTTTTTTCATCATTTTTTTCCAACTTTAATATATAATTAATGGTCATTCTTTTCTTCTTCGTTCAACTCCACTCTTTTTACCTGTGGCATATTCAAATGAGACGACAGAAAAATACACTCACGGACAGACAATCACGGCGAAACACGGACAATCACGGCGAAACACGGACAAACACGGACGAGCACGGACAAACACGGACGAGCACGGACAAACACGGACGAGCACGGACAAACACGGACGAGCACAGACAAACACGGACGAGCACGGACAAACACGGACGAGCACAGACAAACACGAACGAGCACGGATGAATACGGACAGACAAAGCACGGACGAACACGGACAGACAAAACACGGACGAGCACGGACAGACGAAACAAGGTTGTGTTTGTCCGTCCGTGTTTTGTCTGTAGTGTATGTGCTTTTCTGTTCAATTGAATATGCCAAAGGTAAAAAGAGTGGAATTGAACGAGGAAGAAAAGACTGACCATTTTTATATATTAAGGTTGGAAAAAAATGATGGAAAAAAATCAAGGCGCCCTCTTTTTAGGATAGGGCCGAGAGATATTAATGAGAGATATCAATGGATTTGAGTGATTAATGTTGTATAGGGGGTGTTAATACTATAGAGGGGATATGAAGAGATATGTGGCTAAAACACTAAAATTCAAGCAAAATTGAACGTAAAAATATTTTTCACTGTGTCACTCTTTTTTCCTCTATTTCACTCCAATGGAGTCAAAATTTCAGTGCCACTCTCAAAAATTTTAAAAATATAACCTTCTGTTCTGGACACGGGTGTCCAAAATGTTCGGTCTGGATACCGGATTTGAATATCCGAGGATTTCCGACTATCCGACAATTTATCGGAGAATCTGGTATGATGATGATGATTAACCTTTTTTTTCTCATAAGAACGATTTAAATTTAGTATTATTTTTCACCTCCAAAGTTCTCGAAATTTATGCATGCGGCGCAAAAAATGGAAGAAATCTGACTTCTTTACCTAAAAGTTCTCAAAATTTTCGCCTGCGGCGCTAGTAAGGAAGATGCCTGGCTTCTTTACCTTCCAAAATTTCAATATTTTCACCTACGATTCTAAAGATCGGAATTTATGGCGCCGAAGGCGCCAAAATTTTTTTATGCTAATTCCCGACTCCCGATCCCGACTCCCGAGGTCATTTCCCGACCCGACTCCCGTTTCCCGATTCCCGGGTTTTTTCTTCTCCCGAGCATCACTAGTGAATGGATTACATTGTAAGGATGATTCACCCAGCAGCATTTAAAACGCTTAGGCGGAGGAACCTTTAGGGAGTCTACACCTCCTCATAAAATACCTGGATCTATTTGTTCGCATTTGGCAGCAGACTCGGGATAATACCTAAAATTTAATTACTTTTTTAATTTCCCAATTAAAAACTTACATAGGCAAGCACTCACAAATTCCTTTAAAACAATGCGAATTTGGAACATTACAAGCCCCGTTCAAGTCTGGATTACAATGAGATCCTATTTGGCCTTCCTTTGGCCATTCAATAAGTTTAGGGAATTGATTATTAATATATTTATTTTCAAAATCTTTATCATCGTGATCAATCAAATTTCTATCCCAAGAATTTAAATGTTGTTGACAGGAAACTTTAAAAAAATTGTTTTTTAAATATGTATTTGTTTGAATTAATTAAATTAGGCAAAACATTGTTTTCTTAACAAAAACAAAACATTGTTTGTTGTTTTTGTTTTTCCCAAAACAATGTTTCCGCAAACATTCCAAACAAAACATTTGTTTTTCTGAACAATACATAAATTTCAAAACATTTTAGAAATAAACAGGGAAATATTTCCAAAACATTCGAAACAAACATTTATTTTTCCCAACAAAAAATGTTCGTGGAAACATTTTAGAAATAAACCGGAAACATTTTCAGAAAAATCAACAATGTTTTAGTTTAATTTTATTCATAATTATTTTGTTAATAAATTAGTTTTTAATTTTAATTTTGGATATTAAAAAATATATTTAATTTTCTCTTTTTTCTAAAAATTACCTTTCAAAAATGAATAAATAAATAATAAAAAAATTAAAATAAAAAAATTAAGAATTTTTTGCTGTTTAATAATGAGATACATAATAATTAATTAAAAATAAAATTAAATAAATGTCTGAATATTGATTTAAAGTCTAGACATTTTAAATTTTTATTAGCCGATTATAAAATAAAGCGGCGGTGTTTTAATAAAAAGATTTAATTTGTTTTGTTGTGATGTTTGTTTAAAATTAATAAAACATCAAATTCAAAACCTGAAAACATTTTTAAAAATAAATAAGTTTTTGTTGGGAAATGTTTTTGTAAAAATGTTTAAATGTTTTTTTGAGTTTCTCTAAAATATGACGGTATAAACAAACAAAACATTCCCTAAACATGTTGTACATAATAATAAATTTCTATATAAAAACATTTTTACTGAACAAATGATAAACAAAACATTTTTGCAAACATTCTAAACAAAACATTTATTTTCCAAACAAAAACATGTTCACGAACATATTTTAAGAAATAAACAGAAAAACTTTCCGGAAAACATTTTCCGGAAAATTAGCTTAATAATAAAAATATTTCGTAAAATAAAAAGGCTATATCGTCTGTAATGTTTAGTTTAATTTAGTATACTAGTCAGAATAGTCGATGATGCGCGTTATTATCTTTTGCTACCACCTACTATATTTTGTGAAATTATTGGGACTTATTGCAGTTGAACATACAAAATAATGAAAAGGAAATAGTATATTTAGTGGATATTATTTTAAAAAGTAAAAAAAGTAATTATAAAAGTTGTATATTAACAATTAAAACCTCTTTATAAATTACTCATAAAGTAAAAATTATTTTTTAATGAGGGGAATTATAAATTAGGGGGGGGGGGGGGTTTAAGCAACTTTCCCCAGTTACTTTCAACCAAATTAAGAAAAACATTTTTAATTTAATTAAGGCAAGTTTAATAAAATTATTGGAGGTTTGCAGGCCCAAGTCCGAAAACTTATATCTGTAAAGGCATATTTTTTATTTGATCAAAAGAAATTTTGGAGGCAAAAATCAACAATCTTTTACTAAAATATCTTCAATTATATCAACAAATAAAAGTTGAAAATTTAAAGATAATTGAAAAGTTTAGTTGTTTATAAAGGTTGTTCGATTAAAATGTTTTTAGTTTTATAGAAAGAATGTTCTCAAATACAAATTTAATTAATAATTCAATTGTTGACCAATTTGTGACCAGTAAAGTAAAAATTAATTATTTATGAAAAATAAAAAATAATTTATATATAGACGTATAATGGAAACAGTTGAGAAAACAATAGACTAATGATTTAATTGAAAAGCTAAATGAAAAATAAATAATGAAAATAAATATTATATTCAAGTTGTAAAATATTAAAATTTTTTTAAATTAACTCAGTTTGTCCTTTTCCAAAAAGTCAAAATGAGGGCTGAGTTCTCAGGAAGGGAATAAAAAGGAGGCTTTAGACGTGTGTTCGAGTCGGTCCATTTTGGCAACCCTAATTGAGGTTAGGGTTGCTTCTGGCTGTGCTCATTCCTAGACGGTTTTATTTAGGGTTGTTGGCGACCGGTTATTAACCGGTATCCGCGGTTTTCGATTAATCTAAATTTTAGAAACCCGGTTTTCGGTTTTGAGTTTTAGGCAAATACCGGTTTAATTTTGGGGGAATTTCAAATAAAATCACTCATATTTCACAAATTTCCGGTTTAGTTTTATTCCATCTATTCTCATCGTGAACATATTACTTTTCGAGCCTAATATCCCTTTTTTCTACACTTTTTCATCGGTATGTCCAAAAGAGAAATGCAGTATTCATAAATTAGAAGCGGAGGGTTTTCACAAGCGCCTCGTCGACGCTACGTAGGTTTACGTGACTATTTTTAAACTGTTTATCTTGGCTCAGAATCAAGATATCGGTCTGATTTTGGTGTCATTCGACTTACTCGAGGAGCTCTTTCGAATGAGCTATCATTTAAAAAATCGTATTTTTCACTCCAAAATTGAGCTTACTCCTCCCTATGGTTTTTCAATTTTCGGAAGCCTATATCTCAGTCCCTCTATGAGTCCGCACAAAATATTTTCACCATTTGACTCAACGTGAAGAGCTCTTTCGAATGCCATATGGTTTGACCATTTGTGTTTTGTTTAATATTCCAAAATCTTTCCTAAATAGTGCAAGTTTGCATATGACATGAATATCCCATTAGTAAATTTAAAGGCTCTTAATTAAGATATTTCAAATACAAAATATACAAATTTATATTTTTACCCATTTAAATAATTAGTATATATTGACCGACAATAATTTATTTATTTTATTTAAAATTAAAAAAAAATTTCTTCAAAGTTTCTCATTTTTAATCAGTTCTTTTCATTAAATTTTCAAAAAAGTTTGAACATTTAATACTATCCATTGAATAATATTTAGTATGATAAAGAAGCATCAAACGAAAAATGTGCTCGTTTTCAATAGCAACATTAATTAGACAAATACATTCATCCAATCTTTGAGCCCCTTCAATTAAGCCTAATCTTCGTTGATTATATCGAAGTAAAATATTTGTAAATTTAACAGATTCGTTATAAAGTAATTCCTTTCCTTCGGGGGACAATTCCGCATCTTTTTTGAAAAATTATAAAGTTTATTTAAATTAAATTTGAAAGAAAGCTAAAATAAGAGGACAATAGAGGGCTTTACTTACAAGGGAACATCGTTTACTGTCAGTGCGAATTTGATAATTTTTTGGTACCACTCGATAGGAGACCTTCGACTTACTATAAAAAAAATGATTGACATGGAAAAGAAAATAATCTCTGACCATTTTCTACGCATAAGGATAGAGGACCTAGGACTTAGTTCCAGAACTACTAGTTCCAAAGCTAGTTCCAGACATTTACTAGTTCCGTAGTTCCAGTTCCAAGCTAGTTCCAGATAATCGTTAGTTCCGTAGTTCTAGTTCTGGAACTAGAACTAATTAGTTCCGGAACTGGAACTTTGCCCATCACTGTGCTTACAACCGGCCAAGAGAAAAAGTATATCCAAAGTGTTTACCTGGTCTCGTAAAAATAATAGCAATTAACAAAGCATATTCAACGTTTGTTAATGCAACACGTTTAAAATGGACAACAGATTTTGTATATCCAATTTCTGACCATTTATTCATACTAAAAATTGAAAAAATTTCAAAAAATTATTATTTTTTATTTCTTGCTAGTTTTGTGGTAAAATTGAATTTCGTTTCACCCTTTTATTTACTCAAAATATTAAATTAGACAGAGTTAAAATGTGGCATAAACATTATTTTATGGCTAAAAGTAGCCACTCTGCTTTTTAGAACTAATCCAACATCCAACAAAGTTCGAGACGTGATATGCTACCCTGAATAGATTCACCCTTTTCCAAAAATTTTTTTATGTCATAGAAAGCCCTACTCGCCCAGGGTTATTGTTGTGTATGGGCGACAGCCCTTAAAGAGTTTAGTATAAAAACCCAGCCAATAGTTAAGTCTCAGCCTCAGTATTATCCCTCTTCCTACCCCAATCTTCAGACTCTTTGTATTTTCTTCGTGTGATGAACGTTCTGTTAACTTCCTCTACGTAAGCGGGGTCATAACAGTTATGGTATACACATACATAAATTACCTGTTCTAAAAAGCATAATTAGTACTAGTTATAGGCACAGAGTAATGTTAGTAACGCATTTAATGTCTGACCCTCTATTATTTTGAGGCAAGGGGAACGAAGTTCAACCTTATACCGTTCATTTCTTTATCATTTTCAAATTACCTCTGATCACAAGAATATTTACTATTTTTAACAACGAGGGAAGGCATAACACCATCCTTTTTTATCCAAGTTTCAGAGCCCATTTCCCAGGATATGTAGGTGCTTGCAAATACAAAAAACACACAATAAATCCGTCTCAGATGTGCAATCTATTTTATAAAGGTTTTGCATTAATTGAGGTATTCAGGGATCTCTTGTTTGTTTTTTTTAATCACTCGTTATACATATGTATGTGTTGTGTATGGGCGACAGCCCTTAAAGAGTTTAGTATAAAAGCCAGTGAAAGCGTCAGTCTAGTGTCATACTAGCGGGGTTAGTCACTGATCTCCTTCGTCTGTCCCATTCCCTTCGCTTTCATTGTTCATTCTACGTTGGATAAACTGTTATTGTTATGCTCGTCAACATTAGTTAAATCTCGGACACACCTCGGGTCGTAACAGTTATGTATGGGCGACAGCCCTTAAAGGGTTTAGTATAAAAGCTATCCAATAGTTAAGTCTAAGTCTCAGTCCCTTCTTCCTACCCCAATCTTCAGCTCCTTTGTATTTTCTTCGTGCGATAAACGTTCTGTTATCTTCCTCTACGTAAGCGAGGTCGTAACAGTATGCTTCTAAAATCACACAAATTTTATGGATAATAAAACTATAAGGTTGAAGCAACACAGTTTAGTTTTTCTTATTTTGTTTTGCCTTACTTTAATCAGTTTGAGCACACACTTTATCCATATTTAATTTGAAAAACTCCTATAAAGAGAAGGTAAATACCTGATCAGATAAAGTCAATTTTTCAAAAACAGGCATAGATTTAGCTATACCAAAACACAAGAATCTGTCAACTAACAAAGATTTTTGACAGCGAGTGTTCAGTAATCCTTCGTTTTGTAATGAAGATCCCCAACTTTTTAATTCATTAAAAGGTATTGGACTTGGATTTGTCTTTAAATTTAATTGAGTTTTATTAAAAATTAAATTTAAATTCACCGAAAAAGTATCAACCAAACGAAAAATATTAAAATTAGATGAAATTATTTCTTCAAACAAAATCGGGCCCTTAAGGAATATATCATCCAAATCATTAAATGCATGCATTATACGTTTTTTGGCTTCCATAATTGGTAAAATTGAGTTTATTAAGTTTAGGTCATTGATGGTTAGGTTGACAATTGAAGGATTTGAAAGCTTAAAAAATAAATCAAATTAGCTTCATATAAGATACATTTAATACTAGATGCCGTCGCGACTTCGCGAATCGCCGAGATTGTTTGGGGAGAGCGTGTAGAACACTAATGTCCTTCCCCAGGAAATATTGAGCTTGGAGACTTTAGCCTAATTTAATTTTTATCATGTGCTAGCTAGCGATTATATTATTGTCCACATTTCCTAGTTCGTGAATAAAGATATTTATCAATTTGGTGTATCTGTGTTAAGGAAGCTTCTAAGGGACTTGATCAATCCCGAAGGTCTTCTAGGATTGTTCCGATCACATCCACTCCCCTTGTATCCTATAAGATCTGGAAAGGGTCCACCGCTTCGGCGCATAGTTATTTGGGAGAAGGGGTTCTATTTTACTAGCGCTTTTTAGATTAGCCAATGCGATACTTTGTCTTTGCTGAGCGTACCGCTTTTCAATGCTGTTCTCGTCTTTTCCCCACAACGGAGAAGAGACTAGATTTAGATATCTGTCCATCCATGTCCTAATAGGGAAGTCCCAGTACAATTTTTAGCTAGGTTTAGTATTTTCCCTCTCATTGGAACTGTAACAGCCTTTTCGTTTAGAGTTGAGACACGTCGTTGTCTCATCGAGAGATTACAATATCCGTTGAGATCTTCCGACGAGGTGGAAAAGTATATGCGAGTGCGGATCAGGGATGACGGGTTACCCGATACCCGGACTTTTTTCGACCCAAAACCCGACGTTTTTCTCAATCCGCCCATCCCTAGTGCGGATCCATCGTTATTAAACAATAGACTTTTACTTTAATTTCGTTCCCCTTTCCTTCAATTGCTTCCCGGCATATATCTTGACGTACATATCCAACATCTAAAATTCTTTTCAAATTATTTTTAAATATTTTGACTAGAGCTAGGAATTTTGAAAAAACCGGATCGGGTCCGGGAAACGGGTTCTGAAAAATGGACCGGGCGGGAACCGGGTCCGGGAAACCGGGAAAACCCGTTCCCGGTTTCATCCCGGTTGTTTCAAAAAAACTGGGAAAAAGGACCGGGAAACGGGTCCCGTCCCCAGCTCTAATTTTGACAAACCCAATCTTTTCATTCCAACAGAAAAACATTTTTCAGTTCTACATTTTTTACATTTTGCCAAATTTTTTTGTGACTTTTCGTCTTTATTCTCTTTCGAACATTTACATTCATCATATTTCCATGAATGTTCATTTAAAAGATAACGCCTTTTTGAGAAATAATTTTTTTTAATTTAACCTAAAAACTACCTGAAAAAAGACCCACAAGCCCTACAAGTAATAACTCCATAATGAAAACAAACACTTATGTTTGACTCACAAACTTTACATTTTCTAATGGTGTTTCTTTGCATTTTCTAATTAAAATACAGGATAACCCAAAAGTAACTGGACACTTTATTATTTTTATTCGAATTAAACTTAAATGACAACGAAATAAATAAATAATATGTAAATATAAAGAATTTTTAAATGCTTTTTTCCCTTTGCTTGGTTACGAAGGCGCGTGAAAAAATTTAGTGCAAATTTTTTGTCAATAGTTTGTTGACTGTTGTCTTGTTGACTATTTCTTTTTCACTTTTTTAAAGTCAACACAGTCGTACCTACTTCCCTAAACATTTCATGGGAAATTTTCCCCATAAATTTATTGGGGTCGCACTTAAATTAATTTTTGTTAGTAACCTGTAGAGAAAAAAGTCAACACTCGTACCTACCTAGGGCGAAATCAAAAAATAAAAAGCGAAATACGAAACGCGAAACTTTTCGCGCTGAAAAATGTGAAATATGCGAAAGACGCGAAATGCGAAATTAGCCCAGCCCTGGTACCTACTCCCCTAAACATATTTTAGAAAAATTTTCCCTATGAATTATTTCATACCCGAATTTTTAATTGTTCTTGGAAAGTGCTTTTATGGAAATTTGTGTGTTAAAAATCTATTGTAAGTTAGTTAATAATCGAATCGTGCTTGCAAGCTATGAAAGAGAATTGGGGGGGGGGGGCTACAAAAAGAGTATAAAAGTAAAAATGGTTATAATGAAATGAAATTTCTATAAAATGCATGTATAAAATGTATGTAAATACCAAGAAAAAATGCTTAATTAGACATACATACTAATGCAAATGGCCCAACATTCCCAAAAATTCGGCTCTATCTGAAAGGAGGTGCGGCATCATATTTTTTCATCCTTCCTTACACAACCTTTCATTTTTCCTTAATATGAAAAAATGGTCAGTCTTTTTTCCTTCCTTATTTTACTAACTTACGGCTAACTTACGGAACAGACAAGACACGGATCATACCAAAACTCGAACAGACAAAACATCGTCTTACCAAATCAAGGAACGACCAAATAACAGAGCGACCATAACACGGAATGACCAAAAACTGACCGAAGATCTGGTCTGTAATCTGGTAAGACGGAGACTTGTCCGACCTTTTTGTCGTTCCATCTCCTGTCTGTTCCGTCCTGACAATGGCAATGAGAAAAAATTAGTCCTTTCCTTATTAATGTCTCTCATTTGAATATGCCACAGGGAAAATTAAGAGCGTGGAAAAGACTGACCATTTTTTCATATTAAGGAAAAATGAAAGGTTGTTTAAGGAAGGAGGAAAAAATACGATCCCGCACCTCCTTTCAGATAGTGCCAAAAATTCTACTCTTAGGGGCGCTTGTTTTAAAGCGGCACCGGTCGGTTTAGGCCAGCGGTTTTTCGGTTTTTTGCCTAAAAAAGGGAGCGTGTGGTTCGGTTAATTAACCGAGAGCAACCCTAATTATTACCCAATGAAACGATATATATTAAGGTTTGGAGTCACACTTAAATTAATTATTGTTGGTAATTGTAGAGGAAAGAAATATTTCTAATAAAATGCTATAAAATGGTTTATATTTCATTAAATATAAAATATTTTTTGGCAAAATTGTCAATATACTATGCAAAATATAAATTATATGGATGATTCTGATGTATACGAACGTATTTAATTTTAGTCTTGGTTCGTATAATTATCAGCTGAATAAATAAATAAATTTTTTTTATTAACAAAAGTTAGCAGCGAATTGAATGATTGGATTTACATAATCAATTTAGTTATGTAAGTTCGAAACTTCTCTCCTTTTATTTATTCAATATAAAAATGACAATGAAAGGGATGGACACTTACATCATTGTCTTAATAAAATATATGATATTTGGTCAATGGTAATAAATTAACTGAATATTCAACAAAAATAATCATAATGAAGGGATATTGATATACACAGATATACGACTAAGTTAATTGTTAAGTTAATACGACTAAGTTAACCTTTCTTTCTATGAATGAATATTTTATTTTATAAACAAAATTTTATTTAAAAAACTTAAATTAATTCAAAACAGCTAATTAAACACACAAAAATTTAAATGGAGAAGAAAATTAATTTTTCTTAACATTAATCTAAAAATGGTTAATTGCCATTTTCAGGCATTTTGGCCAGCGTTTGCAGGATCTCACACTAAAAAATATTTTAAATTAAAAAAGAAGGAATTGCAAAGAAGGTCCGGCCTACTGATTTGGCATTATCAGGATTTGACAGTATTGCCAAAATATATGTAAAAATAATCCGTCGATATCCTACTTATCCCTAGATACCCGTGATATCCAGTCCACCTATATCCCCAATAATTGGTGTAAGGCAAATGGATTAAGTGGTATATCAGTTGAGTTGGAGGAATAACTATGGAAGAATCCAATGGATAAATCCCCACTAAACAATATTTAAAAACATAAAAAACAAATTTAAAAAAATCCAAAAAATATATTAAACTTAAATTAAAAATCCAAGGGAATACTAATACTACCAAAATATATACCCCAGAAATGAAAGCTTGATTTTTAAAAACCCAATAAAAGTCAAACCCCTCAAAAGTGGTTGAGGGGCTTGACCTACCCCAATCTTCAGCTTCTTTGTATTTTCTTGTGTGATAAACGTTCTGTTATGTTCCTCTACGTAAGCGTATCTTCCTCTACGTAATATTACTTATTCTTCTCTTTTTTTAGATTTTAAATGTCTAAATTAATGCCTTCTTTTTATTCCCTTCCTGAGATCTCCTTTTCTTTCTTTCCTTCCTGATATCTTGTAATCCATCTCCTTTATCCTTAACATCACCTTAATCCTCTGCCACTCTACTTTTGCATAAATGAAAAACCTAAGAAACCTAAGGGATAACGAAAAAGGACATGAGTTTTCATACAAAAATTTATTTTATCGAAAATTTACTTATTTTTCTAAAAAAAATATTTTAACATAAAGGATTGAAATTCCCTAAATATCAATTTTTATTTTAACAAAATATTCTTCTTCCTTTACATTATCTCTATTTATTTAACATCCCAAGCATGGTCCTTCCAACTATGTGCCGGCCAAACACCCGGACGATGATAATGAAAAAAGGGTGGATAATCCTTTAAAATTTTTGTGAAATTAAATATAAACATAAAATTCCCCCTACTTCAGGCGGACGCCAATTCAACGCCAAACGGTCGTTTGGACGACGAACTTCATAAAACTGGCGATAATAGGGAGGTCCTTAAGGAAAAAAATTTAAATAAAAAATTATTTAAATTCCACTTTTAAAGCCCAAAGTAGGCAAATCATCAGGCAATCCATCCCTATAAACTTTGAAGCCCAAAGCAACAATAGTGACAGGTATGCAGAAGACAGAAGAAAAAAATATTTCGGTATAATTGTACATCCAATGTCGAGGTTTTGCCTTAAACATTATGTTTTAAACATTATGTTCTTTTCAGGGATACTATTGTATTATTGTAATATTTATTATGTTTCCGGAAAAAAATGAATTAGTATAGGCTTGAAATGGATCACCGTAAAAATATAGACGGAAAATTGTGGAGGAAAAAATGGGGTCTGTAATCTTCACTATTACCAAAACTCCTAATGAAAAAACAAAAGCATCGTGGAGTACATATAAAATTTTTGAAAATTTAGATTCCCCCAGTAAACTAAAATATACATTAAATCAAAATTAAAAACATCCCCCCTCCAAAAATAATAAACTTACTTTAAGTGCCTTCCAAGCGCGTGCCCATCTACTCACGTAAGGCCTATACACTATCACCATAATTATCAAATAAAAAAAATTTAAGAATTAATTAAACGAAAAAATAAAAATTAAATAATAAAAAATGAAATAAACATTTAAAAAAAGAAAAATTATTTAAAAATTTATTTTTAAAAAAATTCAACAAAATTACATAAATTTTAAAAAACGATTGTAATCCTCCAAAGGAGTTTCAGCAACATTTTCTGAAAAATAACGGTCACTTGGATGTAATAATTTGTAAAGAGTAATAGAATTTGGGGTTTTTGGTATATAATTAGCTTTTTTTAGACGGTGAAGGTATTCGTGTCTATTACGTAAACCTTTTAAAGAAGAAAAAATTAATTTTTAATAAAAAAATAAAAAAATAATAATACCAGTTATTGGACATCTCAAAGCGCAGGGATATTGAACTAAAAAATAATTTTGTTATTTTAATTTAAAAAAGGCTAAATGTTCCCTTCAAAATAATTTAAATTTTCCTACACACCAGAGGTGGGTCGGAACAGTCAGAGGTGTCGGAACTCGGAAGAGCCGGAAATCGAAAATGGCTCAAAAGTCGGAACTCGGAAATCAAAATTTTTTTCGGAACTCGGAAGGAAAAAACGTCGGAAATATGAATTCCGACCCACCTCTGCTTCACATAAAGAATGTACGACATAACGTTTTGTCCTAATTTTTGGCTGTTTAAGTGTCTTAAGAATTTAAAAAAAATTAGCGTGTGTTTGGGCTCTAGGCGAAAATTTTTGGCGCACATCCCTGCCTCCCACTACTTTTTAATATAAATTTATTTAAAAACCCAAACCAATTTGTTCATTTTCTATTTTCATAACATAAGCCAAATAATTATAAGAAACAAGCATTCTATTTATATCACAAATAAATAAACGGGGATCTGCTACAAGCATTAAACGTAAATCTTTTTGAGAAAATCCACATTGAATATTTAATGAACGAACAATTCCCTTAAATTATAATAAAATAAATAAAAAAATAAAATAAACTAACAGAAATTCGGCCAATTCCAAATGCAATCTGAAAATTATATTTAAAATTTATTTTTAAAATAAAATTTAAATAATTGTAGTTAAAAAATATTTTTTTCTCGATAGCATCACCCTCTTTCTTAACAAACTGAATAAAATCAAGAAAAAATCGCTCATCTAAATATCATTACTAGAGTTCGGATTTTGTGGTCCGAAATCCGGGTATTTTGATAAAAACCGGATTTTGATCCGGAAAATCCGGTCCGGGTCGAGTCAAAAAAAACCCCGTATCCGGTCCTCAACAAAAAACCCGCAAAAATATAAACAAAATTTAAAAAAAATTTCCAAAAAAAAACTCACAATTTTGGGTTCTTTAACTACAACAAGCCTCAATTGTTTAGAAGGAAGTAGAAATTGTCTGTGTAACCAACCCAAACGGGCATCAAGCCTTTCAACTGAATCATTAAGCCAATATCTCGATTCTAATACAATTTTTCGTATTTGAGGAAATGTAAACCGGCGATAATTTAAGTAATTTAGATGAGCCTTCAAATAAATATATCTAAAATTGGACTTGATAAAATATAACCACCAAATATTTAAAATATATTTTATAAAGAGCACAGTCCAACTTACCAAAAGGTTGATGTACTGCCGAGGCACAGCAGATCAGTCTGTTACTTTAAGCGCACTGAAAGGCGAGTAACAGTCTTTGCCTATTTTGATCTGCTATGCCGAGATATACCTTACTTTCAAAATTATTGGATCCTGGACGCCCTGGATCGTCGATGTGCATCGACAGAGAAGTCCCTAATTTATTTTTTTTTGATAATTTTGAACAAAGTTATACCGCGGCAGTACAAATTGGAGTATACACTTTTAAAAAGTCGGTTGGTTCAATTTTAATTTTAATTAAAAATATTTTTAAATAAAACTTTTACATTTAAATGTTCCTGCTTTTGTAACAAAAAATAAGGATTGCGAGATAAATAATTAGCCAAATCATCAGGTGAAAACCCAATACTTTTATGTAACCAATAAATTTTTGGTTTGACATCACGTTCCCAATCTAGACGGACAAGTGCTTGGCCGAGACGAGGATCATATTGTGTGGACTGAAAATTAAAAAAATTTCAAAATAGTTTTATAATAAATATCAAGGGCGTAGTCAGGGGCTTCTGGGGCTAAAGCTCCAAAAATTTGAGGAAGAGATTGAGCAAAAAAGTGAAATTTTTCCTCCTATGACCGTTCAAATTAAAAAGAATTTTCGATTGCGGCGCTGAAAAAAAATAAAAATATGGTTTAAAAAATTTGCGTTAGCAATGCCAAAATTTTGGGCCACACTCAATTTTAGCCCCGCTGAAATCGACCCCCTACGCCCTTAATAAATATATTGTTTGTCGAGTGTTTATAGTAGTTCTCATAACTACTCGAAATAAATTTCCAAAAAAAACCTCAAATAAATCCACACCCATATCAACAAGCATTTGAATAGTTTGAGAAAAATTGGCATATTGAGCAATTGAATGAGAATGGGTTGGTGGCATTATCTCCTCTGTAGGTATAAAAGGGTGGGGATTTGAACTGAAAAAATTATTAAAGAAAAATTTCTTAAAAAAACTTTGAGGGAGGTTTTGTTAAATCACTATTTAATAATTCTCCTTGGTCATAAATTATTCGTCTGAAACGATTAATTTCTCTAGAAGTAGTTTCTTCGCCTGTCTCCATTTGTGAAATGTCCAACTGCGAAAGAATAAAATTTATTTTAAAAATGCTAGATAAATTTATAACAGAAATAGAAAGAATTTTTAAAATATATTAGACTATTCTACTACAAGCACGAGTAAAAGTAACACCTCCAAGGAAATACTATACAGAAAATGGTAAAATATTTCTAACAGTTCAGAGGGTTATTTACCACCTTTCAGGATAGGAGAAAAGGCCATACAAGTATATAAATACCAGGAATCGCGCCGACTCGATTCCTCGATACACTGATATCACTTAAATATCCCTCCTTTTATCACTCAACAACGATTCCCTTACTTCTAATTTCTCTTAAATTTAAACCCTCAAGTCTAATCTCTAATCCCACATCAAAAAAGCTTTTTTGGAAAATTTAAGAAATCGGGAATTTGGTTTTCTGTCGGCGCTATCCCTGATAAATACACTGATTTTTATTCGGTTTTCAAGTTCCTATTCCAATTTCCATGAAACAAAAATTTTATTTGAAATTATTAAGTTTGTGGGGATCTTTCTTTCCTTATCTTTCTTCAAATCTCTCCCTCCTCCACAAAAATAATTAAAATTTTCTTTGTAAAAAACCTCAATTCCGGGTTGTTTAACCAAATTAGGTGTTAACATCATAAATTCATATTCTTTTTGTTTTTGTCTGAGTTCATCATCCTCAATTCTTCCAAATTCATCCTCAACAGATTTAGGCATTTCAAGTTTTCCAAAAACTTTTTCATTTAAAAAATTTTCGTTTTCAATAAATTGTTGAAGTTCAAAACGGTCAGAATCTTAAAATAATAAAATTTTTTGTAAAAGATATTTCCCACAGACATCCCCACAAACTTAATAATTTCAAATAAAATTTAAACCTTTATCCACTAGATCAGAATCGAGATGTTTTTCATCCTTTAGACGAGCAACAGCGGAACTCGAAGCCTAAATTTTAAAAAATAAATTCGGCCCTATCCCAAAAGAAGGGCGGAATCTTTTTTTTATTACCTGCAAGGAAAGGAAAAATAGAGACGGACTTGGACAGACAAAACACGGCCGGAAATGTTTTAGAAATTGATAGCCGTCTGTGCCTTGTCTGAGTCCGTCCGTCTCTATTTTTCCTTTTCCATTTTCCCTTTCGTTGCAAGTAATGAAAAAACAATTCTACCCTTCTTTTGGGATAGGGTCATGAATTCTATCCAAGTAAATCTTTTCAAAAATTCTCTCAAATTAATTTTAAAAAACCTCTTACATAACGAAGTCCTGAAGCAATTTTAAATAATCTTGTAGACAATTTTAAAGACATCCTTCCCCTCAAAAAATAAATAAAATTTGAAAACAAAAAATTGAAATAACCGTCGATTACAAACGTTTAACAATTAAAAGAAAAATAAAAACAAAAAATAATTTTATTTTTTAATAAAACTGAAAAAAATTTAATTTTAACTCAAAAAATATTCTCTTTCTTAACTTCTCATCTCCAAAAAATCATTTTTCAATTATTTAGACGGCCCAAGCAATAATTGTTGTTGTTGCTTCAATTGAGATTTTTCCATGTCGCGAAGTTCTTTGTCAACTTAAAAAAAAAGAAAATTTAAATTTAAAATAAAAATTATTCAAACTAAAGTAAGGCAAAATCATGATAAAAGCAGAAGTAGACAACACCCAAGTAGCTTTACGCGCGAGCGAAAACTGAAAAGAAAAATTTTTTTAATTGAAAAATATTTCTTAAATTAAGATTGTGCATGACTAACAAAGTCAATTTATTCTGCTTAAGAGCGGAGGCCATAAATTTACTCTTTGAAAATGTGAGTGAATTTCAACAAAAAATCAAGGTTTAATTCGAACTGGATTCAAAAGCTTTTTGAAGACTTAGGGGTTTGTCTATGGCAACCGATACATCACAGTTATTAATGTGCCAATAAAAATTTTTAAATGATTCATGTGGAGATTCTCATAGGAATAAAAAGGAATTGTGGATATAAGGAAAAGGGAAGCCAAAAAGTCAAGATTACCCAAATAAATAAATTTAAAAAATCCCCTTACAGAAGTGCCCAACAAAGTCCATCCAGCACCAACAGAATAATAAACAGCAGAGCGAAGTCCAGCAGGAAACATTTCTTTAAGCCCTTCAAGTCTTTCAAGTAAAGTTTCTTCTAATTGATCGTCATCAATTTCCTTTGAATTTTAATGATAAATTTAAAAAATAAATTTATAAAAAAACCTTAGCTAGTTGCTCTTCATTTGAAGCAACTTGGAATTGATCAACTGAAGGTTGTGAAGAAGGAAATTCCATTTTTGAAAATAATTAATTTAACTAACAATAAACTAAATGAAAAAATTGGTTTAAAAAATAAATTTAGTAAGTTGAAAGCCAAAATTGAAAAGAATTCCAAGCAACTTAGAATTGACAGAAATGGCTCCTCCCATAACTTGCCAAATTCTAAACATCCTAAACCTATTGGTATCAGCTCAACGCTTGCATTCTTTTACTTATTAAAATTGATATTTTCTAGGAATGATAAGCTCTTTCCAGTAGAATTTTAGATCGGATTGGCCAAAATCATCATTCTAAAGAACGGAATAATCCCTCCCAACTCTTCCAGGGGCTAGGAAAAGGCATAATTTTCATATTTAAACGGATAGACTACGGAATTAAAAGTTAAAAACAAGAGTTATTGCTAGATTTGGAGGAGGAAAAGAACTCGTTTAAAGAAATTTAAAGATATTTAAAAATAAAGAAAAAACTTTAACAATAAAAAAATTTCAAAATTTAACGTATTTTTTGAGATGCAAAAATTAAATAAAGTTAAAAAAAATAACAAAAAAAATAAAAAAATTTCAAATTATTCATTCATTTCCACATCATTTTCACCCCCTTTTCTTCCTTTATTTCCTTCATTTTTATTTTCTTCTTTAATTAATTTAGCAGATGTTCTACTATCAATAAATAAATCTAAACATTCATTAACATCCTCTTTCTCAACAATTTTTCTTCCCCCAATTATTGCTAATAATTTTGCTGGGGTTAATAATTGAATTGTGTAACGTAAAGAAGCATTCATTCCAATTTCACATAAACGTTTTAATGCTAATTCGTCTAATTGAACACCTTCGGCATCTGCTCTTATTTGAATTATCTTAAAAGAGAAAACGAAGGTTTTTGAGCTTTTTAATAGAGTAAGTATAATTTTCGTCAGTATTGGGCATGCAGTCATATCGGGATATTTAAAAAATATATGGACAGTTTACCTACCGGTTTCGGGACCTATAGCTAGTGGGCCCTGGAAAAACCCTTTCCTATTGAAGAAAATATGTTCAAGTTTTAGAACGAACATAAATACACAAGAGGCTATTTTCCTCACAACAATCCCGATATGTCCACACACCAGGGCTGGGCGAAATCAAAAAATTAAAAAGCGAAATGCGAAACTTTTCGCTCTTAAAAATGAAAAACGATAAGCCCAGCCCTGTCAAACACTCAGAATCGCACAGAGTATGCGTGTCTTCCCCCATTCCCCTACTTCAGGTCCTCTTAACGTAAAAAAATAGATTTACCAAAGAAATTTCATCAATAGAATATAATTTTGTTGGAACAATTAATAATCGATCAATTAAATCAGAAGGAATTCCATAAAATCCAATTTCATCAGAATTCCTTTAAAAAAATAATTAAATAATTTCTATTAAAATTACAAAAAAACCTAATTTTTGTTCTCCCCCGATTTGTAGCAAAAACAATAATTGGACTAATTTCAGATTCCAACGCTCTATGTAAAAATGTAAAACATTCCAAATCAAGCATATGAACTTCGTCAATAAATAAAACACCGGGAAGGAGTTCTGCTTGGCCCTTAGAAAGTAAAATTTTTTTTTTGAAATTTAATTTAAAAAATGACCGATTCAATTAATTGATTAACTACTTTGTTGACTTCATTTCTGAGTTTTTCTAAATTAGAAAGATTACTTTAACAATATAAATTGTAATTTAATATTTGTGATAATGAGGGGTCTCATTCAGAGTTCCGTTTTGGATGCTCTGGCTGGCTTTTCTGGTTCCTAACTTGCTTTGTTGGTTTTTATTGGCTTACTGTTTAGCTCGTTTATTTATTAATTGTTGGACTTACTTAATTTGGAAAATATTTTTAATTTGGTTGGAAGTTTTTGTTGGAACTAAACTATTAGAATTAACTTAATCTGACTTCTAGTGTCACGGGTTAGAAACATTATTTTAAGAAAAACCTGTAATTTCAGTCTTCTTCGGTTTCAAAATTTGTGACAACATAGTCATCATATCCCCAGCCTTTCCATGTGGGGCAGAATTTGCAGAATCAAAATCATGTAAATTAACATACTTAAAGTTGCTGTTAAATTAAAAAATTTTTTTTTTATAAAAAACCTGCACAAGCTCTTTACTTTTGTGTACATCACCCTTTGGCATTGGAACAAATTCGTCGGCATCCAAATCGAATTCGTTGGCAAAAATATCTGATCGTCCCAAGCGCTTAAAATTTATTCTAGTTCAGCGGGATTGGGATCCCGGTCGGGATGGGTATCCCGGGTTTTTCGAATCCCGATCCAATTTTGGTCAATCAAGATCACGTGTCGGGATCGGTATCACCATTCCAAAATCCCGATCCCGGTTTTTTCTCTAAATCCCGATACCGCTGAACTCTAATTTATTCACAAATCAATTTATTCAAAAAATACTTTAACAGTTCCAGAACCAGCCTCAATATAAATAACATCACCAACAGAAACTTTCTGCTTTAACAGAGAATCATAAATAGAAGGATCTAAACGAAGTTCCCGAGATCCTTTTGTCGTCTAAATTTAAATATAAATTTATTTTTCTAACAAAAATTATTTAAAAACCTTCAAAGTGCACATAACATGTGAAATTGTTTTCCCAAGTCCGGTCAAAGGGGAATTTTCAATTTCTTTTGGTGATAATTCTACAACTTCGCCTTCAAATACTTCTTTTGTTTCTTTTACACGAAGACCTGAAATTTAAGAAGTAGAGAATTTAAAGAGATTTTAAAACCAAAAATTTTGATAGTATTTGGAAAAAGTAAACGTTTTTATGAAATTTTAAATAACAGATTATGATAATTTTTGAATATTAGTGACTTTCTAGGATTAATCTAAAAACGGGAGTAAATGTTAGTAACCGGTTATATCTAACCCTAGTTTATCGCCAAAATTTTTAAAAATCAAAAATAACCATATTGCGGCCCGTAACCAGAATTATTCTAGGGGTGGGGGCAAGGGGATTTTTGTGTCGAATTTTTAGCACCGCAGGCGAAAATTTTGAGAACCCCCTGGTTACGGGCCTGCCGTATTGCTAAATCATAAAAAACACAAACCAATAGCTTTTCGAATATTTTCAACCAAAACTTCAGTTTTCTTCACTTCACTAGAAAAAACCTCCGATCCAACCATCGGAACAAAAGGCACTTTATCCCCTAATTCCTGAGCCATAGCCATAGCAATCGCCGTCTTTCCAGTCCCCGGCGGACCAGCAAAAAGCACTGCCCGGCCGGCCATCTTTTTTTGTTTAACTAATTCAACAATAATTCCCGCTGCTTCTCTCGCTGCACATTGACCAACAAATCCACTTGCCTTTAAAAATAGAAAATATTTTTTTAAATAAAAACTAATTAAAAACTAAACATTATTCAAGGCTTCTCCAGTCGTCGAATTCAATCCAAGTCCTTTAACATGGCTATGTGCTGCTATTCGAGCTTTTTTGTTGAATTTTTCCTTAGAAAATTTTGTTTAATTTTTAAATTTAAATCTTTATTTCTAAAATATTTCAAGAGTAGGCAAAAACCCTAGCTTTGTAAGAAAGACAAAAAATCAGATTAGACCAAATAAGAAACCAGCTCAATTTTTCTGCTTTCAATCAATAAAATTAACCTCAATTTTACGTCCACCAGTTGATGGGACTTGAATTGAAACACTGGATTGTGAAGAATCTACTTCCATTAGAAAGTTTTTAAATTTTAAATAAAAATTAAAAATATAAAAATTAAAAAAAAAGTTAAGAAGAAAAGAGAGAAAAATTAGAGAAAAAAAGAAAAATAATTAAAAAACGTTTCGCCAAAGGTATAAACTAAATCGGTTAAGGACGATTCAGTATCGCCGATTCAGTCTCGCCGATTCAGTATCGCCGATTCAGTCTACGCCGATTCAGTATCCGCCGATTCAGTATTCGCCGATTCAGTATAGCCGATTCAGTATACGTGGAAAGGGGACGATTCAGTATACGTAGAATAAAATACCCTAAAAATAGAAATTTTTGGAAAGTAACTGATTTATTTTTTCGTTTTAAGCATTTTCTTTGTTCTTTAGGTGGTCTAGCATAACAATTAACAATAACCAACAACAATTATTAACGAAAAAAATAATTTTTATGGAAAATTTAGAATTTTTTAAAATTTTTTTAAATTTTTAAATTTCTTCAATTTTCTTAATATCTCAAGACGGCGAGAATTCTACAGTGAATGGCGAGGTTTCTACTACAGACACATGGTTTATTCTTTAGTTTTTTAGCTTTTTGAATTTTTTTTTATTTTCCCCATTATGTATAAGGGGGAGCTATAGCCCCAGAAGCTCCCTGGCCGTTATCCCTACGAATTTTTGCGGGCTTTTTGCGGAGATTTCTTACTTCCCAATTCCACTCCCCATTCCATTTTTTATTTTTAAAATTTTTTTAAATTTAAGACAATCCAGTCCTGGACTTGTTTTTATTTGTGTCGAGCAGATTGCTGTTGAGGTGGTTGTCTGGTCCTCTTTACTGAATCGGCGAATACTGAATCTAATAAGTGAAATGTAGACCTTGTTCTTATTTATTTTTTGATAAATTTTTGTTTATTTGACTCATTTTTAAAAAAATTTTTGTTCCCCGAAGAAAAAAAGTCGAGACCAAAACTTCACCCTAAGCCAGAAAAAGCCTAAGAGAAGCATAGAATTAAGACTTGGCTAGCTTTAAAGATGTTCTATAGATCGTAGAAAGTAAGAAACACGAAAAAAATCTACAAGAAAAAAGATTTTCTAGCCTAAAAATATACGTATACTGAATCGTCCCCTTTTCCATGTATACTGAATCGGCTATACTGAATCGGCGAATACTGAATCGGCGGATACTGAATCGGCGTAGACTGAATCGGCGATACTGAATCGGCGAGACTGAATCGGCGATACTGAATCGTCCCCTACCCAAACTAAATAAATATTTGAAGTGAAAATAATCTTTTTATTCTTGATCAGATCCGCATAAATATTAGGGTTTCACCGGAACCGAATCCAATTTAAGTTCCGGATTTCGGAACCGGGACGAAAAAAATGCCGGAATTTTCCGGTGAAACCTTAATGAATATATTATTGAGAACCGGCACACTTAAATGGTAAGAATAAGTTTGCAAACTAATTAAAAAATTCCAAACGATAATTGCAATTATTTGGCAGTTTTCACATTTACGGGTTAAATCTTTGGGTGTAATCAAATCAACCACAAAGAATTTTAAGCACTCAATGCGAAGGAAGACTGTTTGTTAGGTGTAGAATTACAACCAAAACTCTATCGGGGATGCAATTTCAACAAACCCGCCAATTTCGAACTTGAATCCCACATTAAGTGCAAATCAGATACATGACGGCATTTCACACCCACTACACAAAGGCGGTGGTGTGTGACTTAAGAAACAAATTACTCAATAAAAAGGGCATTATTTAGAAAGTGCATTTACGAAATACAGGCAGTCTTGCGATTAATTTTGTCGGCATTATTGGGTAAAAGTAAATAAATTCACGTGAAAATTCTTTAATGTACATACATAATTAGCTAATAATTAATATTTTACTCGCATTTTATTTTCTTCTCCCTTTTATTTTTCTTTCCATTAAAATTTAAAATTTCAACGGCAAATAATATCTGACTCTTAAAGTTTAAGCTTTATAAAAATTCTTCTGGGGTATGATCTTCCTCATTGTTATTCTTTCCTTTATTTACCGAAACTTTTGAACATGAAAGTGAAGGGGACAAATAACCAAATAATTTTCCAAACTTGACAGGCAATTAATGTAAAATTTATTGTTTGTCCCAGAACCGTCGGGGGAGGGAGGGGAGGGGGGACTTTTTCGGGGAAACGGGTATGATAGAGGCAAAAATTTTGTTCGGCTGCAATAAAGCAGATTTCAACAACTGCCGCCATGCATCGAACCTGAGTTTACTTCTAAGTGCAAGTTCTTAATCACTTTAACACGGCACTGATTTTTTATACATTAACCTTTTTATTAAAACTTAGATTAAAAACAATGAATTTAAAATTTAAATTCTTTCCCCAAATGTTTTTATTAATTCTTTTCCCCTATTCTTTTTGTAATATTCCTCCTCATCAAAATATTGTTGTTATAACCAATTCTGATAATTTAAAAAACTTGGGTCTAAATATTAAATTGAAAGAATTGGAATTTACTGTGACAAAAGTAAAAGTTAGTATTGAGAATACTACTGGAGTGTCTTTTAAGAATTTATATTATTTGTCTGGAGACAAAAATTGCAATTCTCAAGAGAGTATCGAATATACTAATTTTGATGGAAATTCTTTGACAATTGAAAATAGCAACAAAAATGAATATAAAAATGGAGTCAATATATGCTTATCACAAAAATTGGACAACAAATTTGTTCATAAAGTTGTTAGTGATTGTTTAATTGATACCTAGGTTTTTTGTTGTCTCCGGTATTTGTACTTATGGAGATTTTATTAACTTTTTAGTGAAATATTAGAGGGGAGCTTGTTGTGTATCGACTTGCGGTGTGTCCGATACTAACAGAAAGACTACCAAGGCTTATCACGAAGGTAACAATAACAATAGTGTCATGTCCGATGTTCATGCTGTGGAAAAATTGTGGATGAGAGATGGAATTGAACCATCACGGAAAGAGCCCAGACCGAAGCACAACCGACGTGCCACCATCCAACCCAATGCTGGGTTATTTATTTTCATTTATGTTCTTTCTGCAAGTGCGGACACAACAAATAAAATAACGAGACTATGTGCTGGAGTAGAATATAGCTTTGACTACGGACTAAGACTGACTAACTGACCATCGACTAACTCACCCACGACTAATAAAAGGCTGCGCCTTTTATACTAAACACGCCACCCTAACAGTCACAAAATATTTTCTTGTCGGTTATTTTTTAATATTTTTCAGTTATTAATGACAATATATCCAATTTTCTTCTCTGAAATAATTTTTGAATATAGAACACCAAAAAATGTTCAAAATCAACAAATAAAATTAAATGAAGATCAGGCAGCCTTGCTCGATTATACTTGTAAATTAAAACAAATAGAATTTTTAAAAATTTCTTTGAATTTGGAAAAGGAAACACCTCCAAAAAGACAAAATACGAGAAAAAGAAACTTTGAAAATTTTCAAAATTTTGAAGAAAAAAATAAAATAAAAATTGAAATTAAATTTAAAGAAATTGGGAAATACTTTATTTATTTAAATTCAGCCAATTTTTACGTAGGAGATAGAACAGAAATTTTTATTTCAGAATTTATTTTTAATGTTAACAACCCAAACGAGATAAAAACAATTACTAAAAACTTGGAAGAATTAAATATAAATGAGGCTAAAATTTTGGAATTAAGAAAGGGAATATATTTTAATGTCTCTAAAGGAGGGGAAGATGAGAAGAAGATGAGGAATGATAATTCTGAATTTAGATATAAAGGACATACTATAGCTTTTGGATATATTAAATCTGTATTTGAAGAAAACAAAAAATATAATAATGACCCTAAAGGGAAGAAACCTGTTCAAAAAGAAGATATTTAATTGTTTAGTGGATATACCGTATTTATTCTAATTGAATGGCCTCCATTCTATTTTTCAATACCCCAAAGAATTGTCATTATATTGGAGAGGCTATTCAAACGGAGACGGCCATTCTATTTTTCATTCATCCAAAAAGTGTCATAGAGAGGCCATTTAATTAGAATAAATATGGTATTTTAAATAAAAAGATGCAGAAAAAATCAAAATACAAAAAAAGAATTAAAGAAAACAAAAAAATAAAAGAATATCCTTGGAAGAAATTGAGTAAAGATGTAACTATATTTATTGGATTTTTAGTTTCTTTGTACATATGTATTTAGTTAGACAATGCATCATTTTCTTGGTTTCAGAAAATAGGGCAATTCCATATTTTCGGTTCGAATTTCTTGCGATTCCAGATTATTTTTCCTTAAACAGTTCCGCTATTTGGACGGTTCCAAAAATCGATAAATATTTTTAGTCTGATATTAAAGATTCTAACAAAAATTTGTCAAAATTTAAACAATCCAGTAAAAAACTATTAACGAGAAATCATTTTTTATTATTTTTACAATTGGATTATATTCTGGTTTCAAGTTAAAAATTTCAATTTACATGTACAGTACGACTTATATTTTAAAATTTATTTTATTTAAACACTCGATAAATTGCTTTCTATGATTTTTGTATCAATAATAATTTGTGTAGTATTTGAGAACTTAAGATACAGGTTTTATTACATGTTATTTTATAGCAGGGTTGCGTCGAATTACGAATTACGGCGTTTTTTGAGTTACGAATTAATTTTACGAAAATATCGTGAAAAATTACGAATTAAGAAAATAAAATGGATATAGTGTAGTTCACCGGAGGTAAAAGTTCGGGACGAGACATATGTCATTCGATTCGTCTCGGCGAGCTGAGTCGAACGGTACCACTCCCAATTTCAGGAAATGATTCTGGACCGAGTTATAGGTCCCGAAAAATCGAAAAACCAAAGGGGGGAGTAAGCACTTTTTTGGGATGAAAAATTCGATTATGCAAATTATACCTCATTCGAAAGAGCTCGTCGAGCTGAGTCGAATGACACCAAAATCAACGAAATCCGACTTGATTGGACCGAGATATAGACCCCTAAAAATCGAAGATCCAAAGGGGCGATTTTTGGAATAAAAATT